CGGGCGAGGAAACGGGCGCAGGGAAGGGAGGATCGGGCTAGCGGGGCGAGAGACCTCGGGGCCGCCGCCGCCTTGCGCCCGCCTTCTCCGCGCCCTTGCCTCCTTGCCTTGCCCGGCTCCGCAGCTGCGCCGGCTGCGCGCCCGCCTTGCGCCCGCCTAGAGCAGCAGCAGCAGCAGCGGGCACGCGCTGACGTCCAGTCTGGTTGCCTTGGCAACCGCATCCCATCGCTTGGGACCCAGCAGCTCTCTCTCCCCCCCTCTTTCTGTCTCCCCCTTCCAGTGCCCCCCTCCGCCCCGCCGTGCGCACGGGATTGCGCCTTGGCGCAACCGCTTCCCGCCGGCGTAATTGCGCGCGGGGAGGATCTTTGGTCCAAGAAAATGCGCTTTTCGGGTGTGAGGGCTGCGGGGTTCGAGGGAAGCGAGGGCGCGGAAAGGGAGAATGGGCTTCCCTGGCTGCTTTTGCGGCCCCCAGCCTTTCTGCTGCCTGAGGCGCACCAGCAAATGGGCCCCACCTGCGGGCGGGTCAAGTTACTCCGCACCCAAACCGATCCTAGTGGTGTCGGCAGACAAGGTTGCGGAGGGGGAAGAACACCCCAAACCCTACAGATAAGGGCAACAGGTCATTCACTCTTTCAGGACACCTAAAAATATGCCATGACTTGGTCTAGCCTCGTTCTCATTTATTGATTTAAAATATTTTTACCCCGCTGTTCTCCTTAGAAAGGTCCCCAGGTGGTTCCCATCCTTCTAAGACAATATTTGAAGTTGAAAACAGAAAATATACCAATATTGAAAGAGATCAGACAAAGGGTGCTCTAAGAGTGAACAAAAGCAATACCAAAAAGACATTTCGATGCAGCAAAGCACAAGACTCCATTTAAAAACCACACATAGGCAGCCCATCAGTTAAGAAAGAACTTGCCTGCTTGCGGAAGGACAGCCTCCAGTGGCAGGAAGTTCCAGAGTCCGGGAGCCGCCCCAGAGAAGGCCCTCTCCCGGGTCCCCACCATTTAGCAAGGAATGGTGTATTAAAGCTACAGTTCCCTAGTCCTTCTCCATTGGAGTGCCACCTTCTTTCTCCACGAACAACAGAAATGTAGAGTTGGGATCCTAAAGGTTATCTAGCTGAACCTGTAACTGCTCTGCCAAGTATCCCAGATCGCACTTTAAGTATCAGTCGCTCTTTAAACATGTCCAACAAACTCTGGTCCATCGTTCTGTTGGGTGCACTATTGAACGGCTCCTCATTCTTGCCTGCAACCTCCCTTGTGCCAAGGCTGGCCAGTCTCCAATGGGCTAGCAAGATCCATGAGGTTTACCAAAGACCTGCTCCTCAATAGAAAACTACTGCAATGGTTGCTAAGATGCTGCCGATTACAGCTGGGAAATTCGGAGTGCCCGCATCCCTGCTATAGCAACTCTGTTTCTAATTTTCCACTGGATTGTAAGGTAGGTTTTGCTTTTCTGCCGAGGCCCCAAGACTCAAAGCCTGCTGCCGTCCCACGCCCTCCGGCAAAACCCATCGGGGGAGACGTGCTGTCGATAGTTTCTCCTTCTCCACAAAATCAAAGCCAGGAAAATGTACCCACACAGCTCCCTCCCCTGCAGGGAAAGAACTTTAGGCCAAAACGGCACAGAATTCCCCATCAGTGTCCTTTGTTGGGATACTGGCTTCTTCTCAGCCTTCGTAAGCAAATGCGAGATGACGCGCCTTAACGACCAACTAGCGTTTGTTAATGCTCCCTGCCAAAGTAACTGGTCTGGCTTCTAGTTCTCTGCATTTCAGTTCCCTTTGAGGTGAAGCCGCTTCCGGTCTACCCAAGCACACACTGAAACGGAAGCCACGCTCTATGCCCTTGAGGAAGCGTGTTCGAATCCCTCAAAAACACCATCAAATAAAGTTTGCTAGTCTTTCAGGCAGTGGAAAGTCTTGTTAGAATAGGCCATGCCTCAATTCTGGCTCCCCACACCCTACCCGTCATAGCAGTATCCCACACGCCACTCATTTTGGATGCCATCTACAGTAAATCTCTGGGACAGCAGGAGCTCACCTCCACTGGAGAAGAATTTTCTGGCCCTTTCTGTAAGTTCTTGCATTGATATGAGCCATGTTTTGCACAAGAATAAATGGCCCACCTTTGGCGTACAGCTGATTTGCTCTGCTGCAAAAATCTGCTCAAGCTGCCCTAAACCAGAAGGGCTTGGTGCCGTTTACGCATTTGAAGCAGCGAATGGGTTGCTTGTGTCTTTATTAGCCAGTTTTTATGGGCTTGCTGTGCACGCCTGCTTTGTTTCTCATGGGGAAAGGACACAAGGGACGTTTCCTACAAATTACAGAGACCGTCCAGGGACAAACAAACGTCATCTCACTCTCAACCAGTTGGAGGTGAAGAACTTCACAGGGATGTAAAGCTCTTTTTTTCCACCTTGAAACTACCTAAACATAGGACATTTAGTGATCACTCTTTCCACCTGTCTCTACTATGGTCCGGATCTGCCCGCATTGTGGCATTTATACGAGCTGAGGAGGAGGCATCAAAAGCACACACAGGGTGAAATGTTATCACAATTTCCACGTTTTATTCAAGGAAAAATGAATGTACAAAATATCTCCAGATCCCTTTGCATTTAATCTTCCTCCTCCTCCTCCTCCTCATCCTGGTTGATCTGGAAATACCGCAGCTCGTAGCTCTCCTTGCTATTGGCGACGACGCGCAGCCAGTCACGGAGGTTGTTCTTTTTCAGATACTTCTTAGTGAGGTATTTCAGGTACCTGCGGGACAAAACAGGAGCCAAGTAACAACACCGACGATGGCGTGGCCAAAATGAGGCCAGCGGAACCTGACGGGGTGGGTCCTTCCCTGCATTAACTCTGGGGCACTTTCAAGCCGGGAATGTACTTTTTAATTTGAGATCTGATCTCAAGCCTCTACGCACCAGAGACTCAAAAGTAGCTGGGGGGAGGGAGAGGGGAGATCTAGGGGGTGAGCAAATAATCATTTCCTTTAGCGGAATAAGAGCAAGCAAAAGAAAGCTCAGCCCTTTCCTGCAATTTCACAGGGCCCGGTGCACTCTTCCCCTCCTGAGACAAAATCCCAGGGGAAGCTGCAGGGCGGTGGGTTTTATGGAGTTCCTCGAAGCGCCTTCCAGAATCAGGAAGAATAGATAAACCGAACAGGCTGCAGGGAATGAGACCCGAGAAGTGCAGGATTGCTCAGCTCTGCTTTACTCTCTTAGCTGCCTTTCTCTAGACATGTTCCAGGGGACTCCATAGCTGGCACCTCCAACCTCCGACACCGGAGGCTTCCAAGAGAAAATTAAACAGCTTGGGATGCCTGCCTGAAGCCGGGGGTTGGCCTCGGAGGCCCCTTCTTCCAACGCCACGGTTCTAAGCCGACATCCTCACAGTCACAGAGCTTGTTGCTGGGAGGGGCGCAACCCTGAGAGGGAAGTCCACCAGCAGAGGCGGCGCCACCCTCGGCCCCAACCCCAAAGAGCTTCCCTCCCCCTTAAGGTCTAAAGCTCTTCCTTCTCTTTCGGACGCCCGCAGGTCCTCACCTCTTTGAGAAAGGGACCTCGGAGGTCACCGTGATCTTGCTCTTGCTTCGCTCGATGGTGACCACACCTCCGCCGAGGTTGCCGGCTTTCCCGTTCACTTTGATCCGCTCCTGCAGGAACTGCTCCTGGAACCATCGGGAGAGAGATCGTTAGTGGAGAGGAAGCTGTGCCCAGACGCACCCCCGGCTCCTTCCGTCCCCTTCGGGCTACCAACGGCCCGCTTGGTGGTCACCAGCAGGCAAGAAGGAAACATCAGCCCTTCTGCTCTGGTCCAATCCCATCTTAGGACCTGCTCAAGGTGGCAACCAAGAATCTAAGCCAATGAGTCCAGATTTGCTTTCTTCCTCCTCCCTCACATTCTTTTTTTCCTTTTGTGAGGTGCCTTTCAAGCCAGAAGCCCCCGAGCAGGGGTTGCCTCTTGGCTTTCAAGGGTTTCCCAACGAAAGAGCAAAAAGCTGCTGCTTAGGCCACTTCTGAGCACTTTACGACTGTTTAAAAAAAAAAACAACCCAGAAGGGGTGCCTAAGAATGGACTTGGCCGCATGCAGTAACAACAACAATTAAAATGCACCAAATAAATAAATATTTTCATAGAGTCTGCATACACCAAGGGAGGAACGCTGCTTAGGCCACTTCTGAGCACTTTACGCCTTTAAAAAAAAACAAAAAATCAGAAAGGGTGCCTAAGAATGGACTTGGTCACATGCAATAACAACAACAATTAAAATGCATCAAATAAATAAATATTTTCAGAGTCTGCATACACCAAGGGAGGAATGGTACTCCATCATCTTCATCCAGGGCAGGACAAAGAGTCACAAAGCAGAACCGTCACACAGTCAGATCATACTTTTCATCCACTACTCCATTTGCACCCAACTCGGCCTACGTGCTGGTTGACGGATGTGCCAAAATCCTGTTGCAGGCCACACGAGAACAGATATGTTGAATCAGTGGGGATTTAGCCAGTCAACCCCTCCGTAAGTTTCATGGGTTCAAACGGGCCTCCTCTAACTGCAATGTACTTTATCAGAGATTAATCACAAGCAGAGTAGGCCCGTTGGAATCAATGGAGCTTATAGAGGAGTTAATCACCACATCCCCATTGATTCAGTGTGCCTCCTCTAATGTCTCTTACTATGCTAAGAAGTTGGATTTCAGCCACTGAATGAAGACACAGTAAACAGCAGTGAGCCATTCAGAAAAGATGTAAGCAGGTTCTTTGAGGCGTAAGGACTTAAGGCTTTGATGATGATAATAAGAGTTGGTGAATATTTTCATGGAGCGGTTGGGATATCAGAAGGGGCTGGACAGGCCATGAAGTTGGAGGCTTGGTCAGAGCCAGAAACTGAAAGTCAAATTCTCCGCTGTGTCTCCTAAGAGAAGAGCCCGCCTAGGTGGCCTCGGGCAAGCTGCATGGTAGTCCCAGCCCCCCCCCCGAAGGGGATGGGAAATCACTTCTAAGTCATATGTATCAAGAAAACCCTAGAAACGGTCACAGGCAGAATCAACTTGATGGCCCCTAATTGTCATTTGGACATCAAAAGAAGGAGAAGAGAGAAAACTGAGCTTCTAAATCGTTTAAAATTCTTCATCAGGATGAGTCCTGGGCAACTTGGAACAGAAAAGCAGAACAGTTCAACATTTATTCCGGCAAGATGTTTGTTGTATCCAGGAGGAACGCAGTTACTTTAGCTCCAAAAGGAAGGGGGGGGGGAAGCAGCTTGGGGTGTGGTTGTTATCAGGTTGTGCTTCAAAGCAGTGGCCCCCAACCTTGGGCCTCCAGATATTCTTTGACTACAACTCCCAGAAGCCTTTCACCACCACCTCTCCTGGCCAGGATTTCTGGGAGTAGAAGTCCAATAACATCTGGAGGCCCAAGGTTGGGGACCACTGCTTCAAAGGACACACCTCTCTCTCTCCCTTTGTAGAGTTGTGAGCCCTTCGTCTACAGAATGGGGGAGAGGCCATTCATTCTAAGTTCTCATGAAGTGCAAGTTGATAAAACTGTTTTCAACTGCTCAGCCTGAGTAGGAATTCTGAAGGACTCAACATGTATTCATTGAACAGAAGACTCAGCTTTTTAAAAACACTGAGCTCCCAGCAACCTACTCATGTTTTATTGTTGCCTAAAGGAAACAGCATAAATCTTATGGCAAACGGCTCCAGATTAATGACATACTGGTTGCGTTCCTGGATGCGTGCCTGATTGTGTGATGAAGTATGCACCCTGGAACACTACCGGTGCTTGTTAACGGCAATTTTCTATTCAAACGTATGCAATTTTTTTGTTATGCAACCCTAAACCAGCACCGATTCTGATTAAAAATCATAGTAATTATAATAATGATGCGTTTAACAACAACAAGAAGAAGCAGGTTATTTTGCTATACAGTTTTCCCTTAAATTGCATGGCTCTGAATAGCATGGTTTGGGTTATATGTGATTTTTTTCAATAAATAAATATTCAATAAATATTGTGCCCCTGGCCACCCAGAACTTCATGAGTTCAACGCCAAAGTTGTCTACTTTGCCCCCAAACACAACATCTGTAACTCAGAACCTAGATTAAATACTGTGCCCCTGGCCACCCAGAACACAACATCTGTAACTCAGCACCTAGATCAGGACCTTAAAGGCTCAAGATACAGGGTATTATATGGAAAGAATTGTCAACGTTATGGAAGAGAAACTGTTCCCTCCCTCTCTCTTTGTGTGTTTGTGTTAATTGTTTATGCTTTGTGGCTATGTTTTGTGGGGTGTAAGAGCTATACATGGATTTTGAACTAAACGGAAGCCCAGCACACGGAACAACAAAACAAAATAGAATGCCAGTGGGGAATTAAACCATATTCTTGCACAGACTTTCCACCAACTTTAATAAAAATACCTTCTTTCATGTCAAACACAAGAGGCTGCCCTATTCAGAGGGAGACAACGGGTTCCCCTTGGCAGAGGTTTGCTGATCAAACAGCAAGCTTAGAGCCACTTATACCCCCCTGTGAAAATATGGTGTGTGTGTGTTTTAATGTAACAGAGTTTGAAAGAAAAAAAGCCCAAGGTAACCCAATTTGGCAGACCAAATGTCACTATAAAAGTGAAGAAATCAGAATAAAATTTGGATTTCCAAAAGATCCAGGCCTATGAACACATCTTCTTCAAGTGGAGAAAGCAAGGCTGAAACTCCTGGGGAAGGACCAACTTAGACCACCTTATTCCTATACTGCTTGGTACCAGCAGAGAAGCCCACATCAAGAGTTCCAGAGGATGTGTTAACCTCTGGACAGCTTCCTGTGGGACTGAGTGAGCTTGCTTTCTTACTGTCAAGAGTTCCAGAGGATGTGTTAACCTCTTCCTGCGGCACTGAGTGAGCTTTCTTTCTTACTGATCTATTTTAAATATTTGTACCCCACCTTCCTCCTAAAGAGCTTTTCTAACAGGCTGCATGAGATGCTGTGGATGAAGTCCTGCCTTAAAGATTAAATTTTATCCTGCATTATTTTGTCAACCAGCGTTAGCTTCACAGGTGAAGAAACATTTCACGCACCTGATTTTTTAAAAAGGGTTCAACCTAACGGATATGCCTTAGGCCCCCTCATTCTGAAGCGGTACATGCCCAAGAAAATTACAAATGAGAGCTATTAAAGAGATGAAACCTGGTAGCAGGAAATGGGCAGTTCTGCAGCACAGGCGGTCCGCAGATAATACAAAACAAAGGGTATCAAAAGGAGACCTGGCACAAAGGATCTCAAGTACAGATGGGGGTATTCGTATTCATAGACGAATATCCCTGAGCAGCTCGACTTAACGGGGGTCCGGCCCCTGGCCTGGGACTGTCCACTCATGTGTCCTGCTGCAGCGCTGGTCCTGCTCATCCTTCCCATCGCACCTGGAGCGTCGCTCTCTTCCCGCTCGGCTGGCCACTCCACACAAGGATCAGTTTCCCTACACAGCTTCCGAGTGGCCAGCGGAGTGGGAAGAGAGCGACACTCCAGGCGCGACTGGAAGGATGAGCGCATCCCACCACGGTTGGACAAGGGAGTGGACTGTCCAGCCCCAGGGGCCAGACCCTCGTGAAGTCCAGCTGCACAAGGATATCCGTATTGATCTACAAATACCCCCTTGCTCATTTCAAGATGTGTAAAGTGCTACTTTAATGATCTCCTTCTTCTTTGGAAAAAAAAGCAAGGAAAACATGGCCGAACATGAGCCCTGCTTGTATTCCTGGACTACTGTGTTTCCCCGAAAATAAGACAAGGTCTTTTATTAATTTTGGTCTGAAAAATGTCTTAGGGCTTATTTTCAGGGAATGTTTTATTTCTTTCAAGTACAACAATCTACATTTATTCAAATACAGTCATGTCATCTTCTGGTTGCTGCACAAGGGCGGAGGGCGGGGTTTCACTTAACGGAGGGGCTTATTTTGGGGGTAGGGCTTATATGGCAAGCATCCTGAAAAATCATGCTAGGGCTTATTTTCAGATTAGGTCTTATTTTCCGGGAAACAGGGTATTCCTGAGGTTTGAGTAGACATGGTCTAGAGGGGCGGGGTAAAAATCAAATAAATAAATAAAATAAATAAATGAATTCTACAGCACAGAAGCTTAAGAGAAAGTAGATTGCAGGGACAGATACCTTGCTCACACACACCGTGACAAATGAGGACATCATAAGCAAGCCTCAAGCAGACGCTATCACAGGCTTCAGAAGACGTCTCCTGCAAGCTGCGTCAAAACTGTGTGTAAACCAACACACAGGGCTCCAAGCCATACGGATTCATTCTAAGCGAGCCAATTCTCTAAACAGATCCTACAGTAGCCTAGGGACAAGACAGGATAGAACTAAACCACAGACGTTCTCGATAGCCATGCTGTCACGTGGCTGCCCAACAGAGAAGAAACGAATAATCAGTCCAAATGAATACTGTTCATGCCCCATAGCTCAGAATCAAGACGCCTTAAAGACCACACTATAGTCTTCCTGTTTCCTATGAAGAAACCAGAACAATCTGTATCTCCATATGCAAACTGTGTATGTGACGCTTTAGTGACCTGCCTTAACCTCAATTCCGCCCAAGAATACGCCAAGCCTCTAAAGTCTGAACTACTGGGTAGCTCAATGGCTTATATTTCTGCCGGAGGTTGGGAGTTCAATTCCTCACTGGCTCTCCTTGACAAGGAGCTGGACATGAGGATCCACGGGGTCCCTGCCAACTCTGCAATTCTAAGATTGTACATATATTATTTTAACTTACAAAGTTGGCAGCATCCATAATGCCATCTTCTACCGGGTGGGTACAGTCCAGAGTGAATTTCAAGACTTGCTTCTTCTTTTTGCTACCTTTTGTCACGAGTTTCTTCTACAAGAAAGAGATGGGGGTGGGGAGAAACAAGGAAGCATTAGCACCGAGGAATTGAGGGCCAAACCATAAGAAAGGAGACAAAACCCACGCATTGGTTCAATGTTGCTGGACTTTAGCACAGTGGAGAAAAGCCATCCATCCCCCACAACAGAGCAAGCCTTGTTTATCTTGAAGGCTGGTTCAATATTCAGAAATGTTTTCAGGCAGGCAAGGCTTTGCAAAAGCTGGTTTCTTCTTCAAACCTTCTCACCAGCTACCTAGCTCAGTGGATGGGTGTGTGAACGAGACACCAAAAAGTTTTTTAGGGGCGCTATGGGTGCCTAACCTGAAAATTAAGCCCGGCTGCCTACCCTACAGTGGGAAGATGGATCCAAGAATGCCACGGAGCAAGCTCTGATCCTGTTATAGCTCAGCCGGCAAGTGGCTCAATCCACTTCCAAGAACTAAGGGAGGAGGAAAGACCAGACCTGCAGTGCAGTACAACTGTGGTTTCAAAACAACAGTAAACATACACATCTGACCACAGTGGGACACAGAAGTAGCGTAAGTAGTTTTATGCAGAGAAGTGCTCAAATTCAAATCACGGTTCTTTCTTGTGTATGGCACATTTCTTCTCAGGGATGATCTCTCTGTGACCCTCTGGCATGTGAGCAGGGACTCCGGATGCTCAGTCCTTTTTCTGATGCCCCATTCCCTTAGTCACATACCCCTTCAGCTTGGGAGTTCATCAAAACTGTGAGAAAAGTGTGTGCCATGTGGAATAGGGGACGGCTTTAAATTGTTGAACGCGCAATTCAAATGATCTGGCCTGGTTTTTGACAGCCAAACTGCCTGGCCTTTAGGTAACAGACGAGATGCTTCTGGCAGCCAGATCTTTTACACCTGCCCTCCCCTTGTTTTGAAATAAAGCTTCCGAGGAGGCACATTCTAATTTAGGAAAGGAGGAAAGAAAGGCAGTGCTGCTTTCCCACCAGCTATTCTAGAACTACTAAGAACTGAAACTGCCACAGGTATGTATTGTTTCCACAATTCAACAACGAAATTCCCTACCACAAAATACAATAAAACCAACCAAGGTAGATGGATTTAAAAGGGGAGCTGGAGAAATCCATGTACAATCAAGTCACCAGCCATGGACGTTCCCTGCGCCCTCCAGCATTGGCACAGCATTTGCTCTGGAGCCAGAGCAGGGGTGCTGCCGTGCCGAGGGCCTGCTGGTGGACTTCCAAGGGGCACCACATTGGCCAGTTCATGAACAGAGGTAAGCCATCCTGATGTTCGTCATGGCCAGAATCCTACTTGGGACTTGTGCCAGCTTAAGCGTAGCGACACAACTTCTAGCAATAAATTATTCCTCATTAACAAGTTTCCACTTGCAGTTTCGACTGCATGCTAGTCACACAGGATCCCCTGCAATTCTAAGATTTATTATTAGCACTGCTGGAGAGATCAGTGGTTGAGCCAGAGGTGGAGAGTTTGGTTTCCCACGGTGCCTCCTTGATAGGGGCTGGACTTGATGATCCAGAGGGTCCCTTCCAGAAGAACCCCAGCAGAAAGTTGTTAAGTTGGCGGTAATTGGCCAACACTATTTGACAAATTACTCTTGAATTAGAATAAAACCCCATAGAATTCTGGCTAACAATTACACTCTGAAGCATCTATGTGAAGAGACAAGGTGTAACACGGTCCTCACGGGCAGGTACTCTGAGTCATGCACACACTTGTTTGATGAGAAATGTTTTTTCTGCATACGGATACACAACACTCCCACAATAGAATTTCAGTGACTTCCTCTCTGTAATCCTGCGCATACAGTTGATGTTGGTATCTTTAAGATGCTTAAACACTTTAGTGAAATAGCTAGTAAAAATAATAATAAAAGCAGTAAGAATAACATATGCTTTTTAAAAAAAATCAAACCAATGAAAATGGAAGCTGCAACACAGCTTAAACTGGTCCTAAGTACCGACAACGACTGTGACAAAACAGGATGGATTCGGGCTAATTATCCAAAAAAGACAGGGCGCTAGACAGAGCAACACAGCTTAAACTGGTCCTAAGTACCAACAACGACTGTGACAAAACAGGATGGAGTCGGGCTCATTATCCAAAAAAGAGCACCCAAACAGGGTGCACCACTGTCAGATAATTCACATTTATTATTTTATTTATGTATTTATTTGACTTATATATCGCCCATATGGATGCCAAGGCCACTTATAAACCACATTTATAATATAGCGATCCTGCTCACCAAGAACTTTAATTCACCGGCCTACGGCCCATCCCTTCTTCCTCTACTAACTTAACTGCCCAGGGAGGTGGTGGCCCGTTTTGCTCCTCCAAAGTTCATCTACGCTGGGTAGAAAGACCATCCATTCCTTCAGGCCGAGGCGGCCTCCCTTTCCTTCCTTGGGGATTCTGGGACTTGTAGTCGACGTAAAGACTTCTTCTAGGGCAGTGGCCTCCAACCTTGGGCCTCCAGATGTTCTTGGACTGCAACTCCCAGAAACCTTCACCACCACCTCTATTGGCCAGGAGTTCTGGGAGTTGAAGTCCAAGAACATCTGGAGGCCCAGGGTTGGGGACCACTGGTCTAGGGAGCCCTCCTTCCATTCCTATCACAGTGTCTTCCACAGGGACAGGCAAGGTCATCCTCTTAAGTGGGGAGGGAGGGTCCGATCCACAGGTGGGAGCAGGTGAAGGCTGCTCCCTGGAAGCCCCCCCCCCTTGTCCTGCAGGAGAGCCCTCCCAACCCATCACTACAAATCCCATTTGCTCTGCAAGGGCCAGCTTGGCGAAGAGCTCAGGGGGTCTCGGAAAGACGCCCCCATTCTTGAGGTTCCTTTCAACCCCATCCCGCTGAAAACAGGGGGTGGGGGTCGGCCCGATCCTGTTTTAACTGGTTTAGGTGTTCTTGGACTACAACTCCCATAAATCCTGGCCAGCCCGGCTGGTGGCGACGGCTGCTGGGAGTTGTAGTCGAAGAAGACCCAGGAGGGGTCCAGGTGGGGAAACCTTGGTTTAGAGGAAAGCAAAGAAGGGGGGGTCCCTTCCCCGCCCCTCATCGCCCCCCGCAAAACGGGCTCTCTGCACATGCTCAGAGAGCCAGATGGGAGGGGAGACGACCGGGAGGGCAGCCCTTGTGAGGAGGGGAGCCCCCCCTGGAGGGAAATGAGGGGCTCGGGGGGGGCACAACCTGAGGCCTGCCAGGAAGGAAAAGGGGGACACCCCTCCAAGAACGCAGACCCCATGACGTCACCCTGCCTCCCCCGTGACGTCACTCCGCTCGCCCCCACCCCGCGCCCCTTTGAATTTTGGGGCCCGGCCCGGCCGGAGACTCACCGCGGGCGCCATGGCGGCTGCAACGCGAGGGGGAGAAAGGAAGAGCGGTCGCGCGCATGCGCCCGGATAGCCCCGCCCACGCACTTCCGGGTGAAAGCGGACGAGGGGGGCCGGCCGGCGGGAAATACGCATGCGCATTTCCAAAATTCTGCGGGAGGGAACCGGAAGCGCCGTTCTAGAACTGGCGGGTCTCTCGCTGCTTCCCTAGCCCTGGCCCTGTCGAGCGCCGATCACATCGAGCAGCCTCTGTTTCCTTCCCCCTCCTTGGGAATTGTGGGACTTGTAGTCCAAGAAGGAAGTTTTTCCCCAAGCGCTTTTCCACAAGGGGAGCGACGACCGCTCCCTCCAGCAGCTCCCATCAGCCTTCACCCACGCTTTACGTGGCTGATGGGATTTTTAGTCCCACAAGAACTGGAGGGGCGCCAAGTCCTATTTAATGGCCTTCCCTTGTCAGACACAAAGGGTTACACACGTTACCCCGGACACGTGTCACCGAAAAACGAGGGCATAGATTCGCATAGGCTCAGCGATCATCCTCATCATCTTAAAAATGATGGATCCTCAAGTCCAGTGCTTATCAAGGAAGCCCGGCGAGGGGGAGGGCGAAATCAAACCCTGGCCCCACGCAGCCAGATACTGAAACACGGAGCTCCCCAGCAGTTCATTAAGGGTCGACATCATCATCATCATCATCATCATCATCATCATCATCATCATGCTAGAACTGCAGAGCTGGAAGCGACCCTTGGCATTCGGTGAAATGAACTTCATTATCAAGTGACAGCAGAGATTGCTTGGAGCTGCTTTTTAAAAGACCCAAATATAAAATGCACCAAAAACCTTGAAACTGGCCTTTAAAATCTTGTTCTTGTGTCTCCCATAGGGATTTGGACGATGGACTTAAACGTAGGCAGTTATGGAAAAGATAGAAGCCTTTGAAATGGGGGGGGGGGGTTTGTCCCAAGTGGCCAAGAATTTATTGGCTCAAGATGGTTGGGCCAGTGTAGGTATTTCTATAGCGAACAGACCACAAAAGTCATAAAACACATAATTTGCAGAAAAGCTAGAAAGTTTGGCCACAGAATCAGAAACTGGAAGGACTGTTACGGCTGATCATTCAAGCCACAGTCAAAAGGAAGGAGGAGAACCTCCTGGCTGAACAACCCAGGAGGTTGGTTCGGATGCGTTAAGGAGTGCGCTGTTGAGGTTCTGCATCAAAAGTCAGAACTGTCCTTAGGACACTTTACCTCCCATAGGAGAGGCACAAGAGGAAGGGGGCCTCCCTGTCTCACGTATGTGATTGTCCGAGCCCCACTGGTGGTGGGCACATCGTGGCAAAGCATGTGGGACTAGGATCTCCCTTTGGTCTGGCTGGCAATGCCTTTCATTCTCCCAACAGCTGGAGCTGTCATGGCCTCTTTGCGGACGAGAACCCTAAGCTAAGGGAGCAAAGGAAATCCCCGGGGGGGGTGTGTGGAGTGGTTGAGCTTGGAGCTCTCCCCGCCATGCAGTGCTTCCACATGCTAATCCTCGTGGCCTCTGAAATATGGAGGGAGGGGGAGGGAGGTCCCCTTCCCCATCCCAACACGTTGGCCAGCGCCTCGGTCTGACCTTGGATGAACCTTGACGGCACCGCCGAACAAGGCAGGAGAGATTCTTCTGAGGCGCAGAGACACCCGAGGCTCACCTCTTCATTTTTCTACTTCTGACAACCCAGAGGACAACCTTTAAGAGGGCTGGATGAGCCCCTTTTCCCTAGTACTCCAATGGGAAACAGAACTCAGGACTGGATGACCACCCTGTCTGATGGACTCTAAAGGGAGCACTTTCTCCACGAGAAGACAGGCAGGGGTTGCCAACCGTTTTCAACCGATTCCTTGCTTCTGGAACCAGCTTGGTCGTTCCTTGCCTCCTCCATCATCCATATTTACAGAGAAAAGTAGGGGTTCCATTTTCTTTTTAATTCCATGCGTGCTTTTCTGAAGGCACATCGTATTTCTCTGCAAAGTCTGTTGACTCTTGCAGGAGTTGATAAGCTTATCCAGAGAGGTCACGGTTTCTCCCTTTTACCATGCTTGTAACCGGTCTTGATTTATCATCGCGTCTCCATCCACTGTCCAGCTTGGGGGGGAAAATACACACCACATTTTGCTGAAGTTCAGATAGAAGCAAACTGGAAAAGAAAGCAAATCCAGGATCTTAGTCATTAGCTGGAAAGTCCGAAATCCTTTCGGAAAGGTAAGAACTTCCACCTTATTTGGGGTTTTCCATACAAAAGGGTGATGGGTTGAAGACAGAAGCATAAGGGGAGCAATACATTTCCAATCGGTTACTGTGCAATTATGGGTTCCCAAAGAGCGGACGCCTTGTGAATGAGAAAACCTTTGCGCTCTACAGAAATCTTCTTCACACTAAAACTAGAAGGAAAGAGTGCCCAGGGAAAAGATGTTCAGCGTGATATCACAGCATCATTAGCATTGTTATTGAGTGTGCAAAAATCTGTTTCTCAGAGTCTATAGATGGGAGTGAAAGAGGCAGGATGCAGGATGGGCTGTGAGACTACGCTGGATTCCTGGCGGTTTTCTGGTTGTATTGAGTTATGTTGGAGAAGCAAAATAAAAGTTGTAATCTTACTTGTCCATCCTCCCCAGACCCTGCTGCTCTGATAATATAAAGGGAACATACAGCTTTTTTTTTCACTAACTGGAATGCTTTTGTAAGGCAGGAAGTTAGAAAGGCAGGAAAAGAGAGACAGGGGAAGGAAGGAAGGAAGGAAGGAAGGAAGGAAGGAAGGAAGGAAGGAAGGAAGGAAGGGGCAATTGTGTTCATAAACTTGGAACTTAGATTTACATGATAGATAATGTTACCTAGTGGTTGCACAACTAGAAGCAAAATCCTCTTTTTGGTCAGCAGGTGTGTTTTCGGTTTCAAGACTTCCCTCCTGGGAGGCTAAAGTTGACACTCCCAGAAAGGGACAGAAATGGCAGATCATGAGAACACGTGTAGTGTCTTTATTTCCTGAGCTTTGCTGCAGGCTGATTTTTGATCTGTTTATATCTCAGTGGGAATGGCCCATTCTTTCATCCAGCTGGAGAGGGGAAGCCGGCTGCTTTACAGAAAGAATACCAGGCAAAATCCAAAGAAACGAAAGGAAACAAAAAGAAGAGAGTCGTTTGTATAAAGACCTAAGGCAACAAAAATGAAAACTTAAAAGTAACAGTAAATGTCAACCCTAAGTTTTCAAAGACAGAGCTGTGTTACTCTGTTTCATCAGAAACGAAAACATATGAGCAAACAGAAAGGAAAGTGACAATTTTAGATTATTTTGGAGCGAAGTTTTTCAGATTACAGGCCACGTTCTTCAAACAATGTGCTTGTCCTCCATGCATTTTGTTATTATTAATATTAAAGATAATTTTCAGCTTGTTTTAATAGCATCATGTCCAGCGCTTTGTCACCCGCCATGCTGGAGAAAAGTCAAGACCTTTGAGAAGGGTTGCTATTCCCTTAGAAATAAATTTTTAAAAGGCATTTTGCTGCTGAAAAATGACAGTTTCCAACACAACCCTTCACTCCTCTTCATTATCAATCAGCTTACGTTTTAAAACACAGAAGAATCTTGTTTTGGTGTAGCATCGGGGGGCAGGTTCTCTGCAGAAATGTCCAGAGATGGATATATGGAAAAATGGAGAATCATGCATTTATAAGGTGTGATAACCACACACCAGCGCCAAAAGCCATGTCTGTGTTTGAAAACAACGTATTATTCTGGTTTCTACAAAGACATCGCTGTCTTTAAACCTGAATGCCACAGCCCAAGGTAAAGTCTCTTTGGTTGGGATGCGTTATTTCCTACACCCAGGAAGTGGAAACTCTGTTGTGCAGCTCTGCACACACACTCATGATGATGTCATCTACAGCAGCATATCACCGTTTACTAAAGGGCTCCCTTTGGAAATTCTGGGGTGCATGTGAGGTCTTTACATGGTAAACAATCCTCATGCACCCTGAGATCAGTTTTTATCAGTGGTAGTTTTGCCACTGATGTCACCTGATCTCTGTTCCGCATGCAGAGCTCCACAACAGGATCCCAACCTCTAGGTGGAAAGCAGTGGGAATTATCAAACTCGTGCATTTTTGTGTGAATTCAGCCCCTGTGAATTTCCGTTCCCTTCAAGGAAGCAGTGTTTGTCTGTTCTGGCATGCGCAGCAAAAACAAAAACAAAACAACCAAATCGTGACAGTTTGGAGAGAAGCTGATTTATTTTTGTGAGAGCTTTTTATACATCTGTTTCCTCAGACATATTCCTGGGCTCTGGTGGCAGAACCAAAAATACATTTACCATAAATTGATGAATATATTTTAAAGAAACGTATGTTCCCAATGTGCTTGAATATATTATTCAGAAACTAAAAATATGTTTTCCCCCCCCCTGGTTAACACACTTTCAAGTTTTCAGCGATTGAAAAAAGAGAGGAGAACTAAAAGGACTTTTGATTATTTGTTTTTAAAGGGCAATCAACAGCGTGTGTTAGATGCTCACGGAGAATGACTGTCTATTGAAAAAAAATTACTGTTTGGTGACTGGACAAAATAATATTTATGATTGGATTTTGGAGAAATTAAGTGCAAGGCTGGGTTGAGCTGTGGAATAGGACTTAAAGGAGCCCCTGGAGAAACACACACACACACACACACACACACCCCAGTGAGTTTGTATACCGGAGCTGCTATAAATAGTTTTTTGTCTCTTGGAGAACAAGGGATGCCGGCGGGCATAGGTAATTGTTCACTGGCTGTGCAAATCAGTCAATACAAGCATGCACGCATGCACCCACATACACACACTGCGACAACAAGAGTGGCTTGCTATAAATAGACATAATCTCTCGGGAGAACAAGTGTCTCAGGCGGGCAAAAAGTAGCTATTCTGGATCTCGGCCAAGCGGCGTGCCCCCCCCCCCGAGAGGAATTAATTCCCTAACAAGAGTCTCCTGAGAGTTCAAAGCATCCAACAGCACACGAGGCTGCCTGCAAGACTCTGCGTGACTCCCTGCTCAGAGGTGACCCCTTCCCATAGGGAGGGATCCCTAAATCAACGGTTTCTGCAGCAGCACCGTTAGAGGCAGGAGAGGTTGATTTCAAATCCTTGCTCTTTCACATTTACCGTGGAGATTCCTTGAGTGTCCTAGCAGAGTACAGTGGTGCCTCGCTAGACAGTTACCCCGCATGACAGTTTTTTCGCTAGACATTGACTTTTTGCGATCGCTATAGCGATTCGCAAAACAGTGATTCCTATGGGGGGATTTCGCTGGACAATGTTTGGTCCTTGCTTCGCAAACCGATTTTCACTAGACGACGATTTGCTTTTTGCTAGACAATGATTTCACTAGACAGCGATTTCAGTGGAACAGATTATCATCGTCTAGCGAGGCACCACTGTATGTCCCTCCACCCCACCCCCAATTAATTCACAGGCGAAATGTGTTTCTGGCTATCCGGAGAACAAAGGATGCTATAATATCAGCCCCACTTTCGGTCAATGGGTCAGCTTGTGGCTCACGCAGAGCCCTGGGATGGCAGCTTTTCCCCTCTCGCCCTTCGGTGGCTCTGTGACCCTCTGGTCGGCTACATCGGTGACTTCCTTCTCTCTTGCTGTCTTCCAACCTAGATGTCGGGTGGGATTTTCTCCCCTCTGGAGAATTTGTGTGACCTCGACAACGCCAACAGCCACCCGCTGGTGTGTTTCCTGTGTCAGGAGCAATACGAACACCCTTGCCTCTTGGACTGTTACCACAACTTCTGCGCCAGCTGCTTGCGGGGCCGCGCCATCGACAGCCGCTTGACCTGTCCTCTTTGTGGGTAAGCACCATCCTGCTCCCCCCCCCCCCAAACACACAGCCTGACACCCAGTCCAAAACAGTCTAATGGCTTTAACCAAGTCATTTCCTGTCCCAGTTCAGACCTTCTTCTCTCACTAGCCCCCAAAACCACACCAAGTGCCTCTTTAAAAAAAATCTGGGCCACCCCTTGTAATATATGTGATATAAGCTGAACATTTTCTGAATGGGGCCAAGGAGTTTCCAGATTTTTCCAGCCACTGTGGCCAGAAATGAGTTCCTTTTCCTTCGTAAGGCACATTGAACATGCCTGTAGAGTAAAACCCCTGGTTCCAAGTCCCCACCCACGGATGCTGGAACACGCGGATAATAGCAAATGCTATTATAATAGTGAAGGTTATATACAGTAGGGTCTCTGGCTCCCTTTAGTGACCAATCCGGGTAAATTCATCATTCGAAATATATGTAGTGGGGGACGTTTAGTATATTTAATATTTTCTGTCTGTGGATAAGTGAATCAGTGGATACCAATCCCGCAGATAAGGAGGGCTGACTGAATTTTCCACTCACACCTCCAGACAGGATAGAAACTCTGTGCCTGCAGCTGAGCCATGATGTTCCCTATGGACGATGGCCAAC